TGTCTTAATTAAACAATTTTTATAAGTATCGACACATAATTGATTAATTTCCTGCAATTCTAACGCAGTATTGACTCTCATAGCCTTGTTTATTATATATTAATCCTAATTTGACATTTTTGAGAGTTCTATTTCGAATTTAATTATAAATTTATTTTAAACGAGACTATGAATAAAATATTATTTCAAAGCTTATTTCTTAAAATCCACATATTTATTTTAATATTTCCTATATTACTGGTAGATATATTTAACTTGTAATTTTTATTAGTCTGCTTATTATAAATTAATTTTTATTTTTCTTTTTAAAAACAATATAATAACAATATGATAGAAGCACTGTACAGTTAGACCATTAGCTCAGTTGGTTAGAGCGTCGTGCTAATAACGCGAAGGTCGCGGGTTCGATCTCCTCATGAGCTAATTTTTTTTTCAATATTATATCTTATTCATTCGATTAATATATGGGGCATTCTTTCTCAAATCAGCCACCCCCCTGCGCATTTTATTTTTAAAGATAAAATTTTTTTCGAAGCGTCAAAATTTCCGCCTAAACCTCAATTTTTTGATGCCGTATGGTGTTTTTTATTTCCTTCTTATGGGTGTGACCATACGTTAAAAATAATGCTCAGTGTTGCGTACGAGGCCCTCGAGTACCCCCGTGACCCCAGCAACCGGTGACGAATAAGCCGCAACAATAACATCGGGTAAAGCTAAAGTCGAGGGTGTACGTGATCTTAGCTGATGTCATAAACTTTTAAAAGACATATCTAGGTCGCGAGTATCTTTTATCCTAATTAAATCATTAAAAAAAAAGCTCTCTAAACGTTATTTTTGCATTTTTCAAGTATTTTGGTAAGTCTGAGCATTATTTTTAACGTATGGTCACACCCATAAGAAGGAAATAAAAAACACCATACGGCATCAAAAAATTGAGGTTTAGGCGGAAATTTTGACGCTTCGAAAAAAATTTTATCTTTAAAAATAAAATGCGCAGGCGGGTGGCTGATTTGAGAAAGAATGCCCCATATATATGTTTATTTTGAGAATTCAGATTTAATTTAATTATTTTCTAATTGGTGCATATATTTATATCTTTTTTTAATCTTTAAAAAAATTATGAGTATTTTTGCACTACGAAGTTCACATCGTTTTTGTTTCATTGCTTTATACATATAAAAATATACATATTAGAACATATTTTATTTTTTAACATGTGATTGTGAACGTAAAACATTTTTCATCCTCAATGGCACATTTTCGGTCCAAACTCCAAATTTTCAGTTTACTCTCATTAAACGTAAGACTTAATCTTGATTAATATCTGTATGTAAATAGAAAGTGTAGTTAATCTATTCTTAATTTATTCTCAGAAGAATAAATATAACCCCTTCTTGTGGCAACAATCGTGGCATTATGCCAAGTCTGTCTGTTCAAAGAAAAACAGTTTGAAAGAAAATATTATTGAGGGTTGTAACAGACGATCAATATCAACTCTATCAAAGACACCTGAGCATTATGGTGAAATTTATTAAAAAATTTATGGCTCACACATTATATAAATAATAAAATAAAAAAAGCTCTGTGCTTCTAACATAATTATTTCAATATATCTGAACAGGAGTAAGGAAAAAAATATGTTTTTTGAATATTCAAAGAGCATCATCATCGACACAGAAGAAACTTGCAGAACGGAAATTGTCCCTTTGGGAATATGTGTTTGGTCCTAAGAAATCCTCAAAGAATTCTTGTGCTCGCCAGTTGACTAATTGTCAAGAACAGCCGCGTTCCAAGAATTTGCGTTATCAAATGGCACCTAGGAATGTGATCTACATCGATCTGATTAAATTGAAAAATACAAGATTTACAAAATCGCAGCCTAAGCCTCCACCCTCGTACAAACCGCCCAGAGCTGTTTTGCTGAACAAGGCGATGGTAGAAGGTTTCCCTGAGGTAGCAAAGAACATTCAGTTACAGTATAATATAGTTACATTTTTCACAAGGCTATTTTAGTATTTTTCCAGATTTGAAAATCATTGACAGCTTAAGGAAAGGAGATATTATATTTTATACTTTTTATAGACATAATTGTAATGTGTTATATGTGTTTTTTTATTATTGTAAGAATGCATTGTTGATTATTGAAAGGACGATAAAACTTGCGAGGGTAAGATGGTTACACCTACAACGCCCAGAAAACCATACGAAGAAATGAAGCCGAATTCAAATAGTTTAAATGCCAAGAGAACCACCGATCAGCATCAAAAGAACATTAGATCAAAGAACACTAAATCATATCCTCCAATCTTTGAGAAATCTCGAATGTCGATGATACTAATATCAGATTCGGCGGAAGCTCGCGATATTACAGCGAAGATATTGCGTCAGGCGATGGCACAGGAAGAGCCACGAATGCATTCAAGAATTAAGCAACTCAAAATTTTAATGAAAGAGATGTCCAAGTCCCATAACATGCGTCACAAATAGATCCAGAGTGTAAAAATTCCGATAAATAGTTATAGGTATATAAATAATAAAAATCTTCGTGAGATCTTTAATTCCTTCAGTTTTTTCAGTTTGATAAGTCCGATAAGTTGTGTAATATAGATACGCAATGAATAAATGGTTCTTTTACACTCTGAAATTGTGCTTCATATATCCATACGTCCATATATACATATATAATATAGAGAGACACATGTAATATAATATAAGAAAACTATAAAATTCAAGATATTGAAGGAAAAAAATTTTTTAAAAAGAAGATTGAAATGAAAGACTAAAGCCTAATATTCTACAACCCAGTCAGAAATGTTAATTATCATTTCTGATTGGGAATGTGCTTTTTGTTTTCTGTTTTCTGCTTTTTGTTGTTTTTTACATTTTGTCTTTTTGCTTCTTATCCAATTTCTTGTTTTATGTCGCCCGAGATAAAAGTTAAGCCTATATATTCTACAATGTGCTCTTTGCGCGTTTCCCGTTTCTTCCGAAGTTCGTTAACTTGTATCTCGGGCGACATAAAACAAAAAAACGGATAAGAAGCAAAAAGACAAGATGTTAATAAAGCCTATTCTACAAAATGTGCTTTTTGTTTCCTGTTTCTTGCTTTTTACTATTTTTTACATCTTGTCTTTTTGCTTCTTATCCGGTTTTTTGTTTTATATCGCCCGAGATAGAAGTTATCGAACTTCGGAAGAAACAAGAAATATAATTAGTAGCAAGAAATGTAATTGTCGATAAAATGGTTGTAAAGGAGGAAAAAAACAAGAGGTAAAAAGCAAGAAATAAGAAACAAAGAGCACATTGTAGATTATTAAGCTTAAGGCGATGCTAAAGCCTCCTGTTTTACCACATTTCCATTCGGTGAAAAATCTCTGTATTGGATGTACGGATTGTAAAAGTACGCACAAACAGGACCTCAGCTGCACTGGATTTCATGAGAAAATCGAAAAAAGTTTCAGATTCGTTAAAAATTCACTTACTTTTGGCTCGTACAGCTGTCACCTCAGATATATATTTACTTGATATAAGAGTTTTAGAATCCATATCTTGAAAATAAGCGTGCAGCTGAGGTCATATTATTGAAACGAACGATATCGAGTTTGTAGAACCAAGGCTGCTTTCCTTTTAGGAGACACAGTCGACACAAATCGACACAAGTGTCGTTCTATCTTTGTCACTCTCTGAATATCAAGAAGGATAGAACGACATTTGGGTCGACTTGTGTCGACTTGTGTCATCAAATGGAAAGCAGCCTATGATTGAAAGTCTAGAAAAGAAATATTTCCACCGAATAGAAAATACGTGCAGTATACAGGTGTTTTGCGAAGCTGGAACTGTCAACAGAGCCGAAATTCCGTGTAGCAGTAGTTGCGCGGTCTTGCGATAGATGGTGCTGGCATATGTTAGATAAGAACAGATGTATGCGTTTGAGTAAGACAGAATGATATATATTATATAATATAATGTAAAAACTAAATCAAAGATGTCACCACTATTATCGAAATTGGAATTTAAAAAGTCTGTACTATCGACCTTGATTAACTCCGACCGTGACTCCAGCATCCCCTTAAAAAATCAGAAAGAACCGCAGATCTTTATGTGGTTATCGACCGTGACGTTAACGCGTTATAGGATAATCATGCGTGCCGCTAGATGGTTCAGCTGCGGCTGCGAGCTGCGAGCTGCGAGCGAGCTAGCTATAGGCTATAGCTATGCGCGACGCGGCCCGCGCGTCAGTTTGCTTTGCCCGTTGATTGTTTTATTATTCTCTCTTTATTGTTATCTGTACTATCTGTAAAAAGAGAGTACAATTAGCGAGTCGCGCGCGAATATCTTTCTCGTGGTCACGAGCAAACTCGGTAAACGCCGGAGGAATTAACAATACCTCGCTTCCTGTCGTTATCATCGGACGGGTCGGTCTCCCTATCGGACATAACGGACATAACCGTTGTATCGATCCGACACACCGCTGCCTAGTCTGCCCGCCTGCCGCAGTAGTGTACACGGTAAGAGGTTATGTTGACTTCTACGATTCGCACTGCGCGATCCTCATTCCTCAGCGATTTGCGATTGCCCGGTATAAGGTGCGGTATATAAGGATTGTAGAGATTTAGAGAAACGGATTGCATCTTAGTATTGCGTTTTGCCGCAGAAACAATTGGTAAGAAAAATGGTGCTCGCTTCGAGACGCTCGGTGACAATTGCACGTGCAACGGGTCGTAGCATCGGACTCCTGGAACGGAGCTCCTTCTTGCCGTGAAAAAAATATAATGCTCTGTCGAATGTCGTTGTCGCTCCACACCAACGTGGGCTTCCTCCGCAGTGCCGGCCACGGAGCAGACTACAAATGTCTTGTAAAGGAACTGCCGCCATCACTGCATGTACATCGAGACGACATAGTCGCGAGAGGATTAGTTCCGAGAGCGAAGGAACGGAATGCGCGCCCGTTGATGCTCTTTCGTCGAGAACGGAACAAGTCGGTAAGAGGAATCAAAGAACAAGAAGAAATGAGAATTGGCAACAAACGGTGACTGGAAAGGGTGTTGACGTTGTCGAGACGGTAGCTGACTTTGAGAAATGGCTTAAGATGCGTAGCACGGAACCACCGGTGCCGTCGAGTATGGATTTGGACGCAACCAAGATGGTGGAGGGCGTAGACCGATATCTGGGTGAAGAGGTGCTATCACATGGCTGCTTTCTGAGCAAAGATCCATATGGTCTGTCCATCGACATCGATTTAGCAGACACCAAGAAGCTTAATCTGTCGTCAAGCTACGATCCGATACTACAGGATCTGACGCACAGCGAGAACCGATTACTGGAACCACCATGCGAGAAGGTCGTTGATGAGTTTATTCTACCAGAGTTCCAGCTGGATCATTTGGATCCACTAGTGACCCTCACACCGGATGACATGATAGTGGCTGGTGAGATTCTACCGTCTGCGAGCAGCCAGTCAATGATAAGTGTAGAAAATCACGATGTCAAACAAAATACTCCAAAAACAGGAGTTTCTGTGCAGAATAATGAAACACCCTGTGAGAAATCCACACAGGTTACTCTCAATCAGCTACCAGTGAATATAGTTGTGAACGAAATGGAGGATGCAAAGATAGAGCAGGAAACTGTAGTACAATCTTCAGTAAGTTCCTCGGAGCTCTTTATTGGGATTCTACCACCGATGGAGGAGAGCTCGTCGAATACCATGACAAATTCCATGGAAATAGATACGCGTGGTATGGTAATAGAACAATTGAAGAAGAAGAAACTTGAACCTCGTATTATCAAGAAACGTCGACAGATGACAGAACGACTGGAGAAGAAGCTTGATAAGCATATTAATGGCAAAAGCTTTGCAGTTGACACAGACTCACAGGATGGCATGATGGCTGTGGTCGCTATATCTACTGACAAAACCTCCAACATAACACAGATTGTTATCAATACTGGCACAGAGAAACAAATCTATCAAGGCAAGACTTCGGAATTGATTGAAGCAACAGGCAATTTTCCAAAATTGCCCAAGATAGATACCTCAGCCGCAGTTTGGAATGGCACAGTTGAATATTGTACCAATAGTAATCCAAGTAATCAATATGAAATTGTTATATCTAATGCACTGGAGGAATTAGGTATCACCACCGATACCCTGCAACCTTTGTGCGCTACTCAACACGACAAGGTGTGGCTCTGTCCACGAGACGGCTGCAACAGACAATTTAGTAGATTGTACACTCTGAAGGGCCATTTGTTGGCCCATTATGGAATTAGACCGTTTAAGGTATTAAAAAGATATGATATTTATTTCTTTCTTTAATCTATTTTGTCGCAGTGTGTGATATAAATTTTTTGCAGCAAATAAAATAAAATAAAACTGTTTAAAGTTTATTTTGTGAACTAGCTCTTAAAATTATTCGGCATATAATCGTGTTCTTTTTTTCATTTACAATTGTTTTAATTGGCTATATTTTTGCAGTGCGACTTTGAGGGCTGCACTTGGGCCTTTTATTCAGAGTTCAAGCTGAAGAGACATAAGGAGACACATCTGAAACGCAAGAATTATGTGTGCGAGGTGGAAGGTTGCAATCGTCGTTTCACTACTGTCTACAATCTATGGAGCCACGCGAAGTTACACAATCGTCCTAATCGGATCGTGTGCCAGGTGCCAGACTGCGGTGAGAAATTTCAAACGAAACGAGCGTTGGAACTACACATGAAGTCGCACGACCAACGCCATGCACCTTACGTGTGTCAGCATGAGGGTTGTGGTAAACGTTACTACAGTAGCAATGCATTGACGTCACATCAACGATCACATAGCTATAAGGAAGTGGACATCAAGTGTTCATGGCCGGGTTGTGGCAAGATTTTCGACAAACCTTGCCGACTCAAAGCGCACATGCGGTCTCATACCGGCTATAAACCCTATCCCTGTACTTTTCAAGACTGTACGTGGGCTTTCTCATCATCCAGTAAGCTTAAGCGCCACCAAAAGAAGCATACAAACGAGCGTAAATTTGTGTGCGACGTGCTGGGTTGTGGCAAGGCATTTATGCGCTCGGAACATCTGAAGGAGCACCGGCTAACGCACACGGAAGGCCGCTTTTTCCAATGTTTCGTGTGTGATGCCCGATTCTCCGCCAAGAGCAGTTTGTATGTACACATCAAGAAGCATCAACAGACTAAGCCAGAAAACGTAGCCAATGATATGCTCGAGCGCACTCTTGGTAATCAAAAACGTACGAGAACAAAAGAATCTCATTATTCGCGAGTGAAGCCGTCAAGCAAGTCGAAGCAATGGAACACGGAACTGATAAATGCCGCAGAGACTATCGCGAAGGAAACCGAAGTTGAAAAGCAGAGTACCAGTACATGTTCCCAGGACGAGGACCAAATGGAGTGGCTGTATCGTTGCCCGATAGAGATATGCGGACATTTAATCGGCAGCGAAACGATTCTTCGTGAGCACATGTTAAAAGTACACGGC